TGGCATTATTATGGTGCATACCATTTCTCATGGATATGGCTTGGCATTATTATGCTGCATACCATTTCTCATGGATATGTCTTGGCATTATTATGCTGCATATCATTTCTCATGGATATGGCTTGGCATTATTATGGTGCATACCATTTCTCATGGATATGTCTTGGCATTATTATGCTGCATACCATTTCTCATGGATATGGCTTGGCATTATTATGCTGCATACCATTTCTCATGGATATGGCTTGGCCTTAATATGAAGCATACCATTTCTCGTGGATATGTCTTGGCATTATTATGCTGCATACCATTTCTCATGGATATGGCTTGGCATTATTATGGTGCATACCATTTCTCATGGATATATGAACGCAAAACCGTGGTAAAGAATTGAACTTTTAGAGTAGTACAAAAGTCAAATTTCCCTTTTAATGTCCCTTTCAAGTAATACATTCTTATTAATTTTTATTGTATACTTAATGTATATTTTTTCATCCGGACAAGATCGCACATATTCTAAATACCACCTTATGTAACAATGTTAGAGAATCCAAGGAAGTAATTTTGTTTTGAAACCTTGCGATCGAGTTGAATCGCGAAGAGACGATAAAAAAGAAACATTCAAGCAAAGAGTGTAGAGGAACCATACTCAAGAAATAAAACAAACACATACCTATAAATATTGATTACTTTTGCCATCTAGACTCTTCAGTACCGTATCTAATCAATGTCAAAATCAAGGTTTTCATTTACTAAAAAATTCAAAATGAAGTTTAACTTAAAACAAAAACGTAAACTAAATGGATAAGAATCATGGTATCTTTAAACTTCGGAAACGTCACTGTTTAAAATTGAGACGTTTACTTGCGACGGTGAAAATGGTAAAATAATTAAAACAATGAAATACTATTAATACATTTACATTTCTAATATCAAGACTGTTTGAACCGCTTGAAGTCTACTTTATACAATGTTTCTCAAAATAACATCATCTCAATTTTATTAGTAACACATAGTAAAAATTTATTTGTATACTATCTATAGGAATGAAATGTTTACCGAAAAAAATTACAGGTCCATTAAATAATGCGTAGTAGAATTGCCTTTCCATACAGATTATCGATCAGTATTTAATTATAACACATACATATTGGAACTATTTAACTATTTTCTCTGACGTCATAGCGTTGATGTTCTTAGATGCACCTAATCAAACCAAATTATCCCTAACAGCTAATAGGAAGAAGGACAATGGCAAACGCCAGCTAAAAAACAAGTCCCAACCTAACATATAGACCCAAAAATAAGGAAAACTTGGAAAACATATGAGAACTATCAACAACATGAAAGTCAGGGATATCAACAACGAAAAGAGAAACAGGAGTATGGCAACAGATGCCACGCTAAAAGGTAGTCCTTAAGAAACATTTTATAAGGGTTCCAGTAGCAACAAGGAAACTTGACAATGGTAACACTGGACAAGCTGAAAGGCGAGTTCTAAAATGAAAATGACTTCAAACTGAAGAAAATGAGAGAACCGTTACCTACAAATGGGGGACACATAGCCACAGTTGGTCATTAACAGATCCAAGCAACAAAAGAACATAATTAAGAGCATAAGCAACAATGTATAATTATAAACTCTGTACATAGCATGCGATCGATTAAAACAACACTACAATATCATCACTCAACCAAACAACTAAAACCACAAGTCAATAAAAGCACACACTCACACACACTAATTAACACAGCCACAAACACAAACACTAACCAATAAATAACCTACTAACAACTAACAACTAATACAAATTAAGGGTGAATATATATATATATATATATATATATATATATATATATATATATATGCACACACACGCACACACACACACACACACACACATATATATATATATATATATATATATATATATATATATATATATATATAGATATATATATATATATATATATATATATATATATATATATATATATATATGTGTGTGTGTGTGTAGGTATGTGTGTGTGTGTATATATATATATATATATATATATATATATATATATATATATATATATATATATATATATATATATATATATATATATATATTAAAATGCATAGAGTGGCATATCAAACCAGATTATCGGAAAAAAACCTAAGTATGGCTGGTCAGTAGAGACAGGTACACCAGCATGTTATATGGTTTGTCTTGTTCTATTTTTCCTAAAAGGAGTCCTAGAGGATGATAATGATATTTATTACGCGCGGTATTGCAAACCAAAGATGGTTATTGTTTATTCTGAATACCAATAAGATAAGACAGTATTTAATATGCTGCGTTCATTCATGGCAATAAAATTGACCAGACACCTCAAAGGATACATTTTTAAGAAATTCATTACATGATAGGAAACATATTTGGATTGCAAATAGTTTTTGAGATTTAAGTTTATGTTGGTCCAGTAGTAAAACAGTTCCATATTTATCTATTGTTAATCACTGGCCATTTTCCTGTTTAGATAATACTCGCACCTTAGAAGCTTGATGTGTGTATATGTCGATGCATCATACGGGATGCACTACATCTGACTTAAATATGTAAAATGTGTTTAGTGTTTTATTTGGATTAGAATATACAGACCTATAGGCGTTCAGAACTAACATTTATCCGTAATGGATGTCATGTTTTAGAATTTCATTCAACATACCTTTAAATAGCAATTATTCACTTTATTTGGATCCTAATAAATCGATATTCCTTTGGGAACATCATTATTATCACAAAGCAAGAAATGCATACGGCAAAATCAATCTTAAATTACGTGTCATTTTTGAAAGAAGTCAACCTGTTAAACCGGATTGCATGTCACACGCTGTGATATCAAATTGAAAATGAAAGCTGCGCTTGTGAAAAACGAATCGCACTACACCGTTACTTGTCATCATAGACCCGATATTCACTTTTCTTGACCCAGCTTAATTCCAAGCCACCAACGTGAAAGTCCATAGCGATCAGTAAGTTTGGTCCAGAAATTGTTTGATATTTAAAGTACAGAGAATTCAACAAATATTATTTAATATATTTTGACTAGGCTATAATCGTACTAAATTTTAAAACAGCAATTAATATTTAATTTAATTTTAGTTAATGCGCCATGTCCACATTGAAGACCTAACCTTCATACTTCGATTACAGTATAGTGGATCTAATACAAATTAATCCACCTCCTTATACTGACCACCTGCATAAATTGGTCAAAATTTTTTGTCCCCAAAATCTCTATTTCCCAGTACTTAACGATCTTAGTGTTCACCTGCCTAAGTAATGAGTGACTTACATGAAACGATTATATATTTGAAAAAAGAGATCCATTTAATCGTTTCATTCCCAACATTGATCACTCTCAGAATATGTATAGTTTAATACAAACAATACTATCATACAGGTTAGAGAAATTAAATTCGTACTCTACCGAGTTTCGAACCCAGGTCCGTGTGTGTGTAGATGAAGTAATGCACACGATTGCCTGTAACCTAACTGAATTAAATTAGTTTTAGAAAAAAATCTTTGAATTCAACAGAATATACACCATAATTATGGCAGTAGATTCAGTTATAATCTCATTACAGTGAATTAATACTAAATTATGTTGCCACAATAAAAATAATAATAATAATAATAATAATAATAATAATAATAATAATAATAATAATAATAATAATAATAATAATAATAATAATAATATATGGACTGTTTATTTTCTCATTCATAACACTTGACTGGGATATATTATAAAATGCCGTACTCATATTATGTTGAATAAAATGCGAGATCAGTATAAGATTTGTATTATTATAGACTGGAGTCTACAGTCATTATGATTGTATTATCATAGACTAAGGTGTTTTAAATACATGATCATTGTACGAATTGTAGTATCATAGACTGAAGTATTCAAATACATGATCATTGTACGAATTGTATTATCATAGATTGAAGTATTCAAATACAAGATCATTGTACGATTTGTATTATCATAGATTGCAGTATTCAAATACATGATCATTGTACGAATTGTATTATCATAGATTGAAGAAATCAAATACATGATCATTGTACGAATTGTATTATCATAGATTAAAGTATTTAAATACATGATCATTGTACGAATTGTATTATCATAGATTGCAGTATTCAAATACATGATCATTGTACGAATTGTATTATCATAGATTGCAGTATTCAAATACATGATCATTGTACGAATTGTATTATCATAGATTGCAGTATTCAAATACATGATCATTGTACGAATTGTATTATCATAGATTGAAGAAATCAAATACATGATCATTGTACGAATTGTATTATCATAGATTAAAGTATTCAAATACATGATCATTGTACGAATTGTATTATCATAGATTGAAGTATTCAAATACATGATCATTGTACGAATTGTATTATCAAGGATTGATGTATTCAATTACATGATTATTGTACGAATTGTATTATCATAGATTGAAGTATTTAAATACAAGATCATTGTGCGAATTGTATTATCATAGATTGAAGAAATCAAATACATGGTCATTGTACGAATTGTATTATCATAGATTAAAGTATTCAAATACATGATCATTGTACGAATTGCATTATCATAGATTGAAGTATTCAAATACAAGATCATTAAACGATTTGTATTATCATAGACTGAATTATGTCAAAAAATGATCATTATAATATTTGTATTATCATAGACTGAAGTATTTGTGTGTGTGCGTGTGTGTGATTTAGATTTTTAACGTTGCTTTAACACTTTTTCAGTCATATCGTTACGATGCTTACTGTGTGACAGTTTATAGTCATGTCTAACACTGGGGCGTCATGCCTCAGACTCAGTCACATTATCTTGACACCAGGCCGACCAGTCCTAACGCTAATCTCTTAATGCTGAGGCAGCTCTTAGTACCATTTTTAAAGTCTTTGGTATGACTCGGCTGGGTTTCAAACTCGCGACCACCCACATCCAAGGCGGACGCTCTAACCACTAGGCCACCGGAGCGGTGTCTGAAGTATTTCAAATACATGATCATTATAAGATTTACATTATAAAAAAAACAGTCTTTCAAATATGACAAGCTTGGATAAATTATGAAGTTACATTCTGGGTTAAAAATAATGTTTCACATTTGTATTTAAAGTGTTGCAGATGATTCAACAACACCAGGTACAATATTCCAGACTATAACACCACTTTACGTAAAATTATTTTCATCATTTTTGTGTTGTGTTTGGAAAAATTAGTTGAATTTGAGTAAAATACCACGCACGCCAAAAACTGTTATAACATTATTCTGACAGCTTAGTGCCAGAGTGGTTTGACAGTTTATTTTCAAAGACTCGTTCACTGCATTTTATTCTTTATTTAAAGATTATCAAATTGAAGGAAACATAAAAATGTAATAGGTAGTTCTTTTTTCTATCGTTTTGTATTAATTGATGTCTTATTCGTTTTGCATGTGCGATATGCTGCGACACACGCACACACACACACACTTGATTTGTTTTTTGTCTGATAGATGCCATCATCTATGAGTCTTAAAACATTTGTCTTGAATGAATCTCAGAAGCTTGTCATGAAGGTCACTTGTATAGTGTTTATGAGTAAATTATTGGGTTTTAAATTTATGCATATAACATTGTTGGTAAATAAAATTGACACATTGCCATGCATATATTGAGCATAATCTAAGTTTCCTTAATTTCTGTAGGTGCTGCTTGAGCAGCTGTACCATTAGCCTACACATAAGTTAAAAAAACAAAGAAGGGTTATTAGTATATATAAAAAGAAAAATAGAACTCATAGTGACCATTTATGAACTCTTAGCGTAACCTGGAACAGATCGCTTGAACGCAATTACTACAGATGGTTTGAACCAAACTTTATTGCTGAAAACGAATATCCATAACTTCTTAATTTGAGGTTTTGAAACATGATTCATACCAGAAGCGTCATCTTGACCGATATGGTCAACGCCTATACGTAAAATTAGGCACTGATTTCACGTACCATAGCTGATTTAAAAAAATGTTCAATGGCTTTCAGAAAATTGAGAAAGTCTGACTTTTTTTAAAAAATTGGAACGGGAGGGGCACTAGGATCGCTTCACGTGTGCAAAATAAAATATTGGTAAAAAAAATTTTTACAAAAATCTAATATTTCTTCCTATATCTAATGATTGGCCTATTTGCCGCTGAAAAGTTAGGATTTGGTACTTTTTAATCAGGTACAATACGTTTAAAATATTTCCAAATTTTAATTTTTAGTGCCTACACATTTTGTGGAATATCTTTGTAAAACGCTTTATGTGTTAAATAAGATTAGATACGGTATTTTTCCGTATTTTTGAACAGGTTGAGACTTTACATTTATTCGATTGCCTTGCGTATAACCTCAAGTTTATTCATGTTTTACAGGAATAATTTGCTCTTAGTGTCAGCTATATCAGTCACCATGGCCCTTGCAAAACAGACTAGAGTAAAATTTCTTAGCACATATATGGCTAATGCAACATTGTGCAACGTAAGCGTGGTAATCAAGTGTGTGAACGCCAAAGATAACCAAAGTGTTTTCCATTAATCATTATTTGTGTCATTTATTAAGTTATATACATGTTAAGGTCTCCCATCCTAAATTGTACTCCATGAATGTATCAGTTTGATTTGCTACTTATACCTCGACCAGTCTGTCTCAAACATTTTTATTCAATTTTTCCAGTAGTACCTCTGATACAAGAAGTGAAATGTACATATGGCGCCTTTCAATTGGCAACAATAGTTTGGGTAAGACATGAAGCTTGTTTAATTTTCTATGCAAAACTATGACAAAATTCAAACAAGCGATAGTAGTTTAGGTAATAAAATCTCGTTCCTTGAATGAAAAATAGCATACATAATTGCATCATCTTATTTTTTTTCATGAATTTTTAATTATCATCGTCTCAATAAACACTAATGAGAATTAAAAAAACATAATACATAAAATCCCCATCTCGACAAAGATTTGTATATTATTAAACTCTAATGGAAATGTTGATATTTGGACAGTTTATAATGCGTCATGTATTAACTGCACATATACGGGAATCTGATCTTAGGCACTTCATTCTCTGCGATTGTTCATACGTTATGCTGTTGATGACCGACTGGTAGTTTTTGCTTTCCACGAGTATCAAATTAAGACAGAACAAAGAAGCACAATCTGGTTAAATTGTCCCGAATGTGTCTAAGACCTTGGTGATTATGTATTAATCGTCCGCTGATTTTCTTGTGATCGTCTGGATGGAGGCTAAAGAATGTGAGAAGCTTGCCCATCAAAGCAGCGATTCATCTATTCAATAGTTTAGTTCAGTTCATCATTTTTAGAAGTTTTTCAAAGAGACGATTTGTGATTTGTTACCTGTAAGGTAGATTCAAGATTGTTTCAAAATACGTGAACAATTTTCTTTTTGATTGAATACAGAGTAAAATACAGACTTTATATAATATTTAACGACATCATTCGTATTCACTGGTGAACACAGTATCGAGATAGAATAGGTATTCATTACGAGGTTGCGAAATTATAATATTAAAGTTTATTTGTTTCTTTAACAATTTTATGCAAAGTATGATTTAGAATTAACTTGGATATTGCACACATATAAACTATTGCAAATACTAATGACTCAACTAATGTAACATGTCTATATCCAGACAGGACTGTGTACAAACATGGTCAAAACGTGCATGCTATTAGGTTTTAATAGGAATGTCAATATCCATTGGCGATTTATCATGGACTGCCTGTAACCTGCCCAGGAAGGTGGAATCAAATCCAGACACATTACAAACAGCTATTGTGCGTTCGTAACACTGTTGATGGGCTACAAGTAACTTTTGCTTTCCACGAATATCATATTTACGGATGAATAAGGAAACTAAATAATGTTAGCATGACCCGTTCAAGGTGAAAATTGTTTATTGTTGTAGGATAGAAGCCAAGGAATGCGGGACATGTTTGCCGTAATAGCAAGGAATGCTGGAAATGGACAATCCGGGTGAAATCTTTTGTACTGAAGTCTGTAGAATTATTTGCCAAGTTCTAATGTTAAATTCCAAACACATTGGCATGGAATGAGTTGGTCATGGTATCAATACAGTTGGTACTGATCCACATATACAATGTTCCCTGGCTACTTCGCGGTTCGTTTATCGCTGACTCGCTGTTTCGCGGGTTTTCAAAAAAAAATAGTAATGTAAAATATTTATCATTTTTAACATTAAAATAATACTATAAATCATAAAAATACCATTTACAATAAATAGCGTATTTATTCGGCAGATGCATACATACTAAAAACGAAATGTAGTAGTTGCGTTTGCTTGATATGCTACTTGCCGACGTGAGATTGTGCACTACACATGATTGGTTGATTGATAATTATGTAATTATATATACGAGTGTTGGGAGGGTTTATAAAGACTTTAAATAATGTATAATTGCTAAAATAAGTAATGCGTCCCTGCTTCGCGGAAATTCACTTATCGCGGATGGGCTTGGATCGGAACACCCGCGATAAGTGAGGGAACACTGTAATTGTTTTTACAATGTAACTATCATATGTATGTCATGTAATTATTCTCCAGTAGCAAAGAACATGTCAACGCTATTTTGATGCAAATCCTGGTGGTTGTTTTTTCTTCCTGTTATCAGTCCGATGGTCCATCACTAATATTGCTTTTCACTGCATTCATGAAAACGATTTGTCTCGGTCAAAATAAAAGATCCTGACATCACTCAACTGAATGAAAGAATGTGTTTTTTTTATTTCCGAATTCATTTCAATTTCGTGTCTCTGAAAACTGTATGCATGTGCTGAAAGTTGATTAATATATATTATTCTTCTTTTTATGTGGTCCAACATTAAAGGAAATATTTATGGTTTTTCTTCCTTCATCACTAAATGTGCTCGTCAAACATTAATTACTACATGCGAGAATGTGTTCGCTGCATTTTAGTGCTGATGGTGAAGGGACTTCGGCAGCTTTGCCGTCAAAAAATATCCCAGGATTGTTATAATGCGTATTAATACGAAAACTTCCTTATATTGGTAAGCGAAACTCGAATTATGTAATACGGTGTTATGGTAAAAAAGGATTAAATTTTTATCATCGACACCGTTTCCATACTCACATGTACATGTCCAGATGTAAACAGCTCATAGCAACTCTCTCGTATGGATTTCTGGAATCCGCCCTGGTTTCCAGAAAATAAGACAGGATAGATCCAATATTAAATTTCGTCAATATCAGTGGCATCATCGTTGTTGTATAGACATTTTTCAACTCTATAAACGAAGATAAAGTTGATGCTAATGCTGATGCGTCCGTCATGTTTTGACCACCAGCTATCGATTGGATATTGCGGTCATCTGACCACCGGCCACGTAATCAAAATTCCGAGCAAATTACAAGTTCGCCGGAGTCTCCATGAAATGGTCTATAACACGCTAAAGGCTCCAACACAGTTTCTGTACAACTATCTTCAGATTTTGCTTTCTCTGTGCCCACCCCAAACCTCCCAAACAATGAAGATAATCAGTATAATACTAGCTTAAATTCAATAATTGAAGTCGATTTTATTTTCGCTGGTAAACGATTAAGTTCAATTAGCTATAATTGCTCTTTGTACAGTAAACACTCCGATTATTGGTTCCTACTCTGCCTGGGTCGCTCCTCTATGTTTCCTCCTAAGTATAAACAATGTTACGTACCCAAAATTATTGGAAGAATTTCAGGATAAATCGTGTCGCTTGCATGCCAATATGTGAGAGAACTAACATCAGAATTAAAATGAATTTCAATGCATAATTCATAAAATACAACAATAAGCAAATATGTTTGACAGAAAATAACTAGGTGTTGGTACATAGGCAAGGAAATCATGGTCATACATACACTGTTTGTATTTGTTCAGGGCAGCCTAACAGACGACAAATAATATAACCTGTCGATTGGAAT